AGTTTTGTATTATTTAATAATTTATTTTAAATTTCTTTTATTAGTATTGTTCTTAACACTTGATTAATTTATATTTAAGCATGAATGAACTTGTTAACATATTTGTTTTAATATTTATTTAGTTTATTGTTTTTTTATTTATTTTGTACACACATGTGTTGTTTGCCAGATGTAAACTTTGTAGTGAACAAGTATGAAGTATATATTCGCCTTTGACGAATCTTATATACCCTTCACCATACTTTACCTTAGTGTGTTTGGAAAATGATTAATTTTATAATATATCAATTTGGTGAGTATAAAAAATATGACTTTTTAGTGTCACTTTGAATTTTTGGGATTAAGATTTTGCTGATTTTAAAAAGGAAACTTCTCGAAAACATGACTGACAGAATTATTGAAGATTTGGATCCCGAAGAAGGGTCTTCAAAAATTGATTTCAACAGACGGACATGGCTTAATAGACTCCGCCATCTGTAAGGATCCAGAATATATATACCGTATAGGGACGGAAAATTATATTGTGGCAAATATAAACGGAATGACAAACTTATATGTTTATACACTTCTTACGAAGGTGAAGGGTATACAAACGATTCATTTGCATACAGTGGGTGAAAAAAGTATGTTTACAATAGTTATTTTGAAAATACGTTATTTTGTCTATAGTCTATAGTTTAGTCTATAGTCTATAGTCTCGTCTAGTCTATAGTCTAGTCTATAGTCTAGTCTATAGTCTAGTCTATAGTCTAGTCTATAGTCTAGTCTATAGTCTAGTCTATAGTCTAGTCTATAGTCTAGTCTATAGTCTAGTCTATAGTCTAGTCTATAGTCTAGTCTATAGTCTAGTCTATAGTCTAGTCTATAGTCTAGTCTATAGTCTAGTCTATAGTCTAGTCTATAGTCTAGTCTATAGTCTAGTCTATAGTCTAGTCTATAGTCTAGTCTATAGTCTAGTCTATAGTCTAGTCTATAGTCTAGTCTATAGTCTAGTCTATAGTCTAGTCTATAGTCTCTATAGTCTAGTCTATAGTCTAGTCTATAGTCTAGTCTAGTCTAGTCATAGTCTAGTCTATAGTCTAGTCTATAGTCTAGTCTATAGTCTAGTCTATAGTCTAGTCTATAGTCTAGTCTATAGTCTAGTCTATAGTCTAGTCTATAGTCTAGTCTATAGTCTAGTCTATAGTCTAGTCTATAGTCTAGTCTATAGTCTAGTCTATAGTCTAGTCTATAGTCTAGTCTATAGTCTAGTCTATAGTCTAGTCTATAGTCTAGTCTATAGTCTAGTCTATAGTCTAGTCTATAGTCTAGTCTATAGTCTAGTCTATAGTCTAGTCTATAGTCTAGTCTATAGTCTAGTCTATAGTCTAGTAGTCTATAGTCTAGTCTATAGTCTAGTCTATAGTCTAGTCTATAGTCTAGTCTATAGTCTAGTCTATAGTCTAGTCTATAGTCTAGTCTATAGTCTAGTCTATAGTCTAGTCTATAGTCTAGTCTATAGTCTAGTCTATAGTCTAGTCTAGTCTAGTCTCTAGTCTATAGTCTAGTCTATAGTCTAGTCTATAGTCTAGTCTATAGTCTAGTCTATAGTCTAGTCTATAGTCTAGTCTATAGTCTAGTCTATAGTCTAGTCTAGTCTATAGTCTAGTCTATAGTCTAGTCTATAGTCTAGTCTATAGTCTAGTCTATAGTCTAGTCTATAGTCTAGTCTATAGTCTAGTCTATAGTCTAGTCTATAGTCTAGTCTATAGTCTAGTCTATAGTCTAGTCTATAGTCTAGTCTATAGTCTAGTCTATAGTCTAGTCTATAGTCTATAGTCTATCATAGTCTAGTCTATAGTCTAGTCTATAGTCTAGTCTAGTAGTCTAGTCTATAGTCTAGTCTATAGTCTAGTCTATAGTCTAGTCTATAGTCTAGTCTATAGTCTAGTCTATAGTCTAGTCTATAGTCTAGTCTATAGTCTAGTCTATAGTCTAGTCTATAGTCTAGTCTATAGTCTAGTCTATAGTCTAGTCTATAGTCTAGTCTATAGTCTAGTCTATAGTCTAGTCTATAGTCTAGTCTATAGTCTAGTCTATAGTCTAGTCTATAGTCTAGTCTATAGTCTAGTCTATAGTCTAGTCTATAGTCTAGTCTATAGTCTAGTCTATAGTCTAGTCTATAGTCTAGTCTATAGTCTAGTCTATAGTCTAGTCTATAGTCTAGTCTATAGTCTAGTCTATAGTCTAGTCTATAGTCTAGTCTATAGTCTAGTCTATAGTCTAGTCTATAGTCTAGTCTATAGTCTAGTCTATAGTCTAGTCTATAGTCTAGTCTATAGTCTAGTCTATAGTCTAGTCTATAGTCTAGTCTATAGTCTAGTCTATAGTCTAGTCTATAGTCTAGTCTATAGTCTAGTCTATAGTCTAGTCTATAGTCTAGTCTATAGTCTAGTCTATAGTCTAGTCTATAGTCTAGTATAGTCTAGTCTATAGTCTAGTCTATAGTCTAGTCTATAGTCTAGTCTATAGTCTAGTCTATAGTCTAGTCTATAGTCTAGTCTATAGTCTAGTCTATAGTCTAGTCTATAGTCTAGTCTATAGTCTAGTCTATAGTCTAGTCTATAGTCTAGTCTATAGTCTAGTCTATAGTCTAGTCTATAGTCTAGTCTATAGTCTAGTCTATAGTCTAGTCTATAGTCTAGTCTATAGTCTAGTCTATAGTCTAGTCTATAGTCTAGTCTATAGTCTAGTCTATAGTCTAGTCTATAGTCTAGTCTATAGTCTAGTCTATAGTCTAGTCTATAGTCTAGTCTATAGTCTAGTCTATAGTCTAGTCTATAGTCTAGTCTATAGTCTAGTCTATAGTCTAGTCTATAGTCTAGTCTATAGTCTAGTCTATAGTCTAGTCTATAGTCTAGTCTATAGTCTAGTCTATAGTCTAGACTATAGTCTAGTCTATAGTCTAGTCTATAGTACTAGTCATAGTCTAGTCTATAGTCTAGTCTATGTCTAGTATATATTCATAGTCTGTAGTCTAGTCTATAGTCTAGTCTATAGTCTAGTCTATAGTCTAGTCTATGGTCTAGTCTAATCTAGAAAATTATGTTAACCTGAGCCCATTCGGGGCCTATCCATAACAGTTATTAGCCCTTGTTACAACTCCAAACACTACAGTTTGGTTAAAAATCTGTCTCTTTAACATTAGGGAATCCTAGGCTCAAAATTTTCAGGATGTCGTAGTAACGCAACTCTTTTTGATACACGCATAAAAAATCAAATGTGTTTCTTTTGAGTAATTCTAGAACCAGTTATTTGACTAATGATTTCTCTATAAACTGTCATTTACTAAAAATGTATATTTTTGCATTTCCCTAGAAATTGTTCAAGTTTTGCTATTTTTATACACTAATTATTAAATAAATTGTTCCTGTTTTGCTATTTTTATATAATTATTAAACGAATTTTTACATAAAATAATAATTTAATATTTAATAACCTTTTAATTTCACTAATTTATATGACATATTTACCTGTGTTTTCTTGAAAACTATTAATTAATTTCTTATTAAAACCATTTGCTTTAAAAAGTATTTTTATTACAAACTAGTGTTATAAAATAAAACTGGTATCAAAATAATGTTTATATTTACAAATAACTATATATTTACATATAAATTATTAATAATTATTAAATATTTAGTTGACTTAGTATTTTTTTTTTTTTGTAAATAAAGAATTTATTAATAGGGACTTTTTTTTCTAAATTTGTTTACTTGACATTAATCAAATAGTTAAACAAAGTGTTTGTTTAAAATTGGTATAAAATTTACAAAATAATTAATAAGTCTATTATTTATTAATAAATATATTTGTTAATTCACTGTGAATGGCTGTTGTTATCAGTTTCAGGTACTATTGCTAGGAAAAGCTTTTGAAACCGACAACAAACTTTTAACTCAGTAGTGAATTAATAATATTTATTTGCTTTTAAATCAGCCATCGGCAGAGAGAGAGATATGTAAGCTTTTTGTTCATTATTAAATTAAATAGTCTGCACTATAGACTCGACTATAGTCTGAACACTAACCTGAACTATAGTCTGATTTTAAATCTAAGCTATTGTCTGGTGTATTGTCTGGACTATATTCTTGACTATAGTAAGTTCTATAGTCTGGACAATAAACTGGACTATAATCTGGTCTATAATCTGGTCTATAATTTGGACTATAGTCTGGACAAAAGTCTGGTCTATAGTTTGTTCTATAGTTTGGTCTATCGTCTGGACTATAGTCTGCGCTATTTTCTTTACCATAGTCTGGACTATAGTCTGGTATATAATCGGGATTACAGTCTGTTCTATAGTCTGGACAATAGAGTTGTCTATAGTCTGTTCTATAGTCCAGTCTACATGGTCTGTTCAATAGTCCGACCTATAGTATGGTTATGATCTGTTCTATAGTCTTTATAATAGTCTGGTCTATAGTATAGACTAATGTCTGGCATATCGTCTGGAGTATATTCCGGATTATATTTTACACTATAGTCTAGACTATAGTCCAGACTGTAGTCTGGTCAGTGGTCTGTTCAGTTAGTCTGGACTATAGTCTGGTCTATGGTCTGTTCAATAATCTTGATTATAGTCTGGTCTATAGTTTATACTATTGTCTGGACCATAGTCTGGACTATATTCTGGACAATAGAGTTGTCTATAGTCTGTTCTATAGTCTGTACTATAGTTTGGTCTATGGTATGTTCTATAGTCTGGTCTATAATCTGGACTATACTCTGTTCTATAGTCCGGACAATAGAGATGTCTATAGTCTGTTCTATAGTCCAGATTATAGTATGGTATATGTTCTGTTCTATAGTCTGGTCTATGGTCTGTTTTATAGTCTTGTCTATAGTTTGGACTATATTGTCTGGTCTATCGTCTGGACTATATTCTGGACTATAATTTGGACTATAGTCTGGACTATAGTCTGGACCATAGTCTGGACCATAGTTTAGATTATAGAGTTGTATATAGTCTGGACTATAGTCTGGTCTATGGTCTGTATTATAGTCTGGACTATAGTCTGTGCTATAGTCTGGACTATAGTATGGACTTTAGTCGGGAATATAGTCTGGACTACAGACTATAGTACAGACTATAGACCAGAATATAGGGTAATAGGCTAGCCTACACTACAGACTCAACTATGGTGTAGACTTTAGAATTGAATATTGTCTAGACTATAGAATCGGCTACAGCACATCATAATGAACTAAAGTTCGAGACTTTTTTGTATTTTTTTTAATTGTTTTGAATTTTTGAAGAAAATTTAGGAATTTTGTGGAGAGAGCAGCTTAATAATAAGAATTTGATATATGGTTGACCTAATTTACTGTCATATGTGGTTCCAATTCAACGGTAAACATTACATTTCTTGCATTTGTTCTAAAATCCAATCCATTTTCTTTTGGATATTAATATAAATTCCAGGAACTTTGCCACATCCGTGACCATAGGATACCACACCTATTAAGTAGTAACGGGTAATGCCTTTATAAAGCTACAAAAAGAAAATCATTATAGAAATTAAAATTTATATATACTATATAAAACTTACTTCCGGTATCATTAAAGGTCCCCCCGAATCGCCTTGACAAGTATCAGTGCCCCCAATAGTATAGCCGGCACAAAATATTGAATCATTAAAATCTTCGGCCGGTATGCTTGGCAAAAGATTTCCATAGATACGACGACAGACATCATTAGGTTGTATGGGCAATTGGGCCTGTTTCAAAACATGCGATGGAGTACCACCCTGCATGGTATAACCCCAACCAGCAACATAAGGCATTGAGTCTATGTAAGAACGCGTACGTAATTGCACCGAATTGGGCATGCAAATGGGAGCAATTAATTCTAATTAGTTTTTGAATCGAAAAAAAAGAAAACTATAATTATTTAAAACTGTTTGAAATTAAAAACTATATATTTTTGCTCACCTGTAAACTGCACAATGTGTTCCAATAATAATATGGCCAGATCTGAGCGACGATCTTTACCATATTGAGGATGTTTTGAATGCTAATTAAATAAATTATAAGACAAAAAAAGAAGCAAACAAATGAAATTGAAACCATTTTATTTTATTATAGGTTTTATTAAGAATTCATTTAAAATGCATAAAATAGCGCCAAAATCAGACAACAATAATGAAATATTAAAAAACACAAAATTATACTTCAATTGACATCATCACAGTTTAAAAAATATTATTGTTTTTTTTTTTAAATAAATTTTGCACGTTTTGTTCTTTTCATAAAAGCCATTCATTATTTGTAATTTCCTAAATTTGTTATTGTTGTTAAAAAATTGTATTTAATAGTAAATGTCTTTTTTAGGATTTCTGACAAGAAGAGGAAGATATATTAAGTTCTTTGTTATTATTTAACGTTTCAAGTTTAAGAGCAAATCACAGGTTTTTCCCCAAAAAGAAGTTTTTTGTTTAAAGTTATTTTTGTAAGAAGTTTAATGACATTTGTAATGTTATACATAACCATTGCACAATGGGTCGATAGTCATTTGTTTCTTAAGTTGTCTACATAGTTGTCACAAATCACTGGAACGTCCATTAAAATGTCTAAATTTCAAATACAGACCCTTCCGAGACTATAGTCTCGACTATAGTCTGTATTATAGTCTCGACTATAGTCTGTTCTATAGTATTCTGGTCTATAGTCTCGACTATAGTCTGGTCTATAGTCTCGACTATAGTCGGGTCTATAGTCTCGACTATAGTCCGGTCTATAGTCTCGACTATAGTCGGGTCTATAGTCTCGACTATAGTCCGGTCTATAGTCTCGACTATAGTCTGGTCGAGACAATAATCTGCTCTAAGGTCTTGACTATATAGACTATAGTCTCGACTATAGTCCGATCTAAAGTCTCGACTATAGTCTGGTCTATATTCCCGACTATAGTCTGGTCTATAGTCTCGACTATAGTCTGGTCTATAGTCTCGACTATAGTCTGGTCTAAAGTCTCGACTATAATCTGGTCTAAAGTCTCGACTATAGTCTGGTCTATAGTCTCGACTATAGTCTGGTCTAAAGTCTCGACTATAATCTGGTCTATAGTTGAGACAATAATCTGCTCTAAGGTCTTGACTATATAGACTATAGTCTGGTCTATAGTCTCGACTATAGTCCCATGTATAGTCTCGACTATAGTCTGGTCTATAGTCTCGACTATAGTCTAGTCTATAGTCTGGCCTATAGTCTCGACTATAATCTGGCCTATAGTCTAAACTATTATCTGCTCTATACTCTAATCTATTGTCTGGTCTATAGTCGAGACAATAATCTGCTCTAAAGTCTTGACTATAGTGCACTACATACTCGGCTATAGTCTGATCTATGGTCTCGACTGCAGGTCTATATACTAATCTATAATCTAGTCTATAGTCTTGCCTTAGTGTAGTCTATAAGAAATTTTTTGTTTAAAGTTTTTTTTTTTTTGTAAACTTCTTAAAAAAAATTATATTTTTAATGTTAAGCAAAACCACTGCACAGTGGGTCGTTATAATTAATAACTACACAATAAACAATAGTTATTTGTTTGTAAACTGTCTACATTGTTGTCACAAATCTCTCAAACGTCAATTAAAATGTCAAAATTTCATATAGATACAGACCCTCCCAAATAATATACAATTAATAAACAAATCATTTAAACACTACACTCACCTTAATAACATTGACATCCACATGCCGTGTTTCCGATTCAATAGACAAATCAAATTCGCCTAAACGTACGAACGACCTAAAAATAAAAAAAAATGCAAACAAATAAAATCAATTAAATATTATAATTAATTATAAAATTTAGCAAATTTACAACGAACTCATTAAATATTCTAAAATACTAGAACCGATTAATAGAAGATGATTTCTAATCAAGCAAATAAACGTCTGATAATAATCAAGTCATAGATTTTTACCTAAATAATCTAAAGATTATTTACTAAGGAAAACTTATAAATATTAACAATAATTATGTCATTAAAATTAAAAAAAAAAAACCTTTTATAAGTATTTAAACAATTCCATTTAACCCATGGTGAAAAGTTAAAACCTTGTAAATAACAAATTTTTTCTAACATATAATAATAAAGCCTACCATCATCAACCTTATAGAGTAATAATTTCTTTTTCGTAATCATAATTCTAAAAACATGTTACTTAGATAGTTTCAAACTTTCACCATCTCTATATTTTACTTAAACCTTTCACCTTCTAATCACTACTTAAAGAGAAACAAACTATGTATGTACTTACAAATCATGTCGTATACAATGAGCTGCTGTTATAACATGTCTCGCCGACACTAAACTACCACCACAACGAAATGGTCTAACACTATAAGGATCATAACCAATTAAAGCCATCCATGGCCAAGCTCCTATTTGACTTTCTTCACCACCCACAATTTTGGGTAATGTAACATTAACGAGACCACAACCTTCTTCTTCGGTGGGCAACTGATGTATTTGAGTATTATTGTTGTTGGCAACTCGTGTTGATGAGGAATTCTGTTCGGGCGGACAGCAGATAATGGTACTTTGACCACCACATGATGTATGTGAATTTCGGAGGTCTGTCTTGAATTGTTCATTGTTGGGATCTCTTTTAAGTTCTTCATATAGGACGGGGCAGTCTTGAAGAGCTGGAATTGGAAATTGATTTTTTTTATTTGAAGAAATTCTTTCAAAACAAAACTAGTCCAGAGCTTCTAGTTTGATCTACAGTCGGAACTGTAATATATAGTCCAGTCTGTAGTCTATGCCGTGGTTGATATAATCATCTGGTCTATAGTCTAGACTATAGTCTGGTCCATAGTCGAGACTACAATCTGCTCCATGTCTAGACTATAGTCTGGCCAATGTTTTTGTCTATAGTATTTACCACATACATGTCTATAGTCTAGTCTATAGTTTAGTTTATAATCTGTTCTATAGCCTAGACTACAGTCTGGTATATAGTCTAGACTAGAGTCTAGTCTATAGTCTAGTCTAGTCTATAGTCTAGTCTATAGTCTAGTCTAGTCTAGTCTATAGTCTATAGTCTATAGTCTAGTCTATAGTCTAGTCTAGTCTATAGTCTAGTCTATAGTCTAGTCTATAGTCTAGTCTATAGTCAAGTCTATAGTCTAGTCTATAGTCTAGTCTATAGTCTAGTCTATAGTCTAGTCTATAGTCTAGTCTATAGTCTAGTCTATAGTCTAGTCTATAGTCTAGTCTACAGTCTAGTCTATAGTCTAGTCTATAGTCTAGTCTATAGTCTAGTCTATAGTCTAGTCTATAGTCTAGTCTATAGTCTAGTCTATAGTCTAGTCTATAGTCTAGTCTATAGTCTAGTCTATAGTCTAGTCTATAGTCTAGTCTATAGTCTAGTCTATAGTCTAGTCTATAGTCTAGTCTATAGTCTAGTCTATAGTCTAGTCTATAGTCTAGTCTATAGTCTAGTCTATAGTCTAGTCTATAGTCTAGTCTATAGTCTAGTCTATAGTCTAGTCTATAGTCTAGTCTATAGTCTAGTCTATAGTCTAGTCTATAGTCTAGTCTATAGTCTAGTCTATAGTCTAGTCTATAGTCTAGTCTATAGTCTAGTTATAGTCTAGTCTATAGTCTAGTCTAGTATAGTCTAGTCTAGTCTAGTCTAGTCTATAGTCTAGTCTATAGTCTAGTCTATAGTCTAGTCTATAGTCTAGTCTAGTCTATAGTCTAGTCTATAGTCTAGTCTATAGTCTAGTCTATAGTCTAGTCTATAGTCTAGTCTATAGTCTAGTCTATAGTCTAGTCTATAGTCTAGTCTATAGTCTAGTCTATAGTCTAGTCTATAGTCTAGTCTATAGTCTAGTCTATAGTCTAGTCTATAGTCTAGTCTATAGTCTAGTCTATAGTCTAGTCTATAGTCTAGTCTAGTCTAGTCTATAGTCTAGTCTATAGTCTAGTCTATAGTCTAGTCTATAGTCTAGTCTATAGTCCAGTCCTATAGTCTAGTCTATAGTCTAGTCTAGTTTATAGTAGAACAATTTAATTACGTTTTAAATTTTACAAATAAGACTTACGTTTGCAAGTTCCGGTTTTAAAATCTTTGGTAAAACAGCTTGATTCTTGAGTATTTAAATTTTTATTCGCAGTAACAGTTTCTACAGGACCTTCTGTAGTGCTAGTTGTCGTCGTAGTTGTTGTTGTGCTAGAAGAAGTCGAGGGCTCTGAGTTGTCTATTCTTGATACTGTAGTACAGCAAACCTGTTTTTTAACAAATATTTGATACACTTATTTCTTCTTTATTTTAAACTCTTAACTTACCACTGGGTACTGATCGGGCGTTATACGATTACCGCATATTCTTTGCAAATTCATGGAATATTGTTTGGCTGAATTTTGTGGTAGTTTTGTAAATAAAGTTAAAACTTCGGGGCAAAATTTCAACGAAACACAAGAACCCATTTGATCTAAAGGGGTGCGACAAAAATTCTGCTCAAAACCACGTATAAAACGGCTATTGCTCATGCCAGGGCCATTCCAGTGGCCGTGACAATTTATAAAGTCCACAGCAAGTAATAGTAAGAAATATGTAGATAATAATTTGAACATTTCTTGTTTTGTTATTTAATTATATAAAAAATATTAAATTGAATATTTTTTATTTACGTTTTTTTAATTTAACACTTGCTGTGTATATTCCGTTTGAAAAACAACTGATTGTTTTGCCTCGAAAAACTAAGTTCTAGTAATTAATAAAAATTTCTATCGGGGAAACAAATATAAAAATACAAACTTATAATAAATCGTGTTCAAAACTTTGCATGGTAAAGCATCTCTTTCCCCAGTCTGTGTGGTCATGATTCATTAATTTTTATAAAGCATCTTTTACTCTTTGCATATATGTTTGTATAGTTGTAAAAATAATAAAATAAAATAAATTTATAGTTAATATTTTTAAGTTTAGAATGAAATGCAATAGGTACAGTATAATTAGTATTGTAATATTTACGTCATTGTTAAATAGTTTGATAGTACAGGTTTTTCTGCTATAAACATACGGGAGGCTCTGGTATAGCCTGGGATTCAGTTATCAGTTACTATTAATAAAATTAAAAAATATGAAATTTAATTATCAATTAAAACAATTCCAAAACTAAATTACAAGCTAATGTATGTATATGCATTACTACTTAGCTTACAGTAATGCAAGCAATAAACACTCCACATTACCTTTCTTTATTCTTTATAACATTTTACTTATTGTATACTAAAGTCAGAATTTTTAATAAGACATGATAAAGCAAAATTTTATAAGCATTTATTGTCTTAAAATTAAAAATTACATGTTATTTTAGCGCTTACTTTACTTTTTAAAATTAGCTGTATGTATGCATGTATATTTGTTTCTGTTATCACATTAACTATTTCGTTTTATGTGAATTATTAAATAATTAATACAAATTATATATCACATTTATTTTATGGGAATTTATACATTTCATTTACAATATTTCTCTCCCAATGAGTCGAAGATTCTCTTTTTTTTTAGAAATTTGTGAAAAAAAAATTTTTGTAGTGGAAAATCCCAGAGTTGAAATAAAATGTTTAATCATATCGAAAAGTTTGTTTCAGCTTTCAAACAATTTTCGATAATAAGCGTTTTTGTTGAGACAAAACTATTGAAATATTACAAAAGCAGCATGTTGCAAAAAAATAATTTTGTCATAAGAAAGTTTAGATACATGTTGTTAAAAAAAAAATTATTTTTAATCAAATCATAAAATTAAAAACGGAAACAATAAAATATTACATAGAAATAAATAGAACTGAACTAGAAATGAACTAGAACTGAGCTAGAACTGAACTAGAACTGAACTACAACTGAACTAGAACTGAACTAGAACTGAACTAGAACTGAACTAGAACTGAACTAGAACTGAACTAGAACTGAACTAGAACTGAACTAGAACTGAACTAGAACTGAACTAGAACTGAACTAGAACTGAACTAGAACTGAACTACAACTGAACAAGAACTGAACTAGAACTGAACTAGAACTGAACTAGAACTGAACTAGAACTGAACTAGAACTGAACTAGAACTGAACTAGAACTGAACTAGAACTGAACTAGAACTGAATAGAACTGAACTAGAACTGAACTAGAACTGAACTAGAACTGAACTAGAACTGATCTAGAACTGAACTAGAACTGAACTAGAACTGAACTACACCTGAACAAGAACTGAACTAGAACTGAACTAGAACTGAACTAGAACTGAACTAGAACTGAACTAGAACTGAACTACAACTGAACTACAACTGAACAAGAACTGAACTAGAACTGAACTAGAACTGAACTAGAACTGACTAGAACTGAACTAGAACTGAACTAGAACTGAAACTAGAACTGAATAGAACTGAACTAGAACTGAACTAGAACTGAACTAGAACTGAACTAGAACTGAACTAGAACTGAACTAGAACTGAACTAGAACTGAACTAGAACTGACTAGAAACTGAACTAGAACTGAACTAGAACTGATCTAGAACTGAACTAAAACTGAACTAGAACTAGAACTGAACTAGAACAGAACTAGACTAGAACTGAACTAGAACTGAAGTAGAACTGAACTAGAACTGAACTAGAACTGAACTAGAACTGAACGAACTGAACTAGAAATACTGAACTAGAACTAGAACTGAACTAGAACTGAATCTAGAACTGAACTAGAACTGAACTAGAACTGAACTAGAACTGACTAGAACTGAACTAGAACTGAACTGACTAGAACTGAACTAGAACTGAACTAGAACTGAACTAGAACTGAACTAGAACTGACTAGAACTGAACTAGAACTGAACTAGAACTGAACTAGAACTGAACTAGAACTGAACTAGAACTGAACTAGAACTGAACTAGAACTGAACTAGAACTGAACTAGAACTGAACTAGAACTGAACTAGAACTGACTAGAACTGAACTAGAACTGAACTAGAACTGAACTAGAACTGAACTAGAACTGAACTAGAACTGACTAGAACTGAACTAGAACTGAACTAGAACTGAACTAGAACTGAACTAGAACTGAACTAGAAACTGAACTAGAACTGAACTAGAACTGAACTAGAACTGAACTAGAACTGACTAACTAGAACTGAACTAACTGAACTAACTGAAACTTAGAACTGAACTAGAACTGAACTAGAACTGAACTAGAACTGAACTAGAACTGAACTAGAACTGAACTAGAACTGAACTAGAACTGAACTAGAACTGAACTAAACTGAACTAGAACTGAACTAGAACGAACTAGAACTGAACTAGAACTGAAACTAGAACTGAACTAGAACTGAACTGAACTAGAACTGAATAGAACTGAACTAGAACTGAACTAGAACTGACTAGAACTGAACTAGAATGAACTAGAAACTGACTAGAACTGAACTAGAACTGACCTAGAACTGAACTAGAACTGAACTAGAACTGTAACTAGAACTGAACTAGAACTGAACTAGAACTGAACTAGAACGGAACTAGAACTGAACTAGACTGAACTAGAACTGAACTAGAACTGAACTAGAACTGAACTAGAACTGAACTAGAACTGAACTAGAACTGCACTAGAAACTGAACATAGAACTGAACTAGACAGAACTGAACTAGAACTGAACTAGAACTGAAAGAAATGGAACTAGAACTGAACTAGAACTGAACTAGAACTGAACTAGAACTGAACTGAACTGAAAACTGAACTGAATAGAACTGAAACTAGAACTGAACTAGAACTGAACTAGAACTGAACTAGAACTGAAACTAGAACTGAACTAAACTGAACTAGAACTGAACTAGAACTGAACTAGAACTGAACTAGAACTGAACTAGAACTGAACTAGAACTGAACTAGAACTGAACTAGAACTGAACTAGAACTGAACTAGAACTGAACTAGAACTGAACTAGAACTGAACTAGAACTGAAGTAGAACTGAACTAGAACTGAACTAGAACTGAACTAGAACTGAACTAGAACTGAACTAGAACTGAACTAGAACTGAACTAGAACTGAACTAGAACTGAACTAGAACTGAACTAGAACTGAACTAGAACTGAAATAGAACTGAACTAGAACTGAACTAGAACTGAACTAGAACTGAACTAGAACTGAACTAGAACTGAACTAGAACACAACTGAACTAGAACTGAACTAGAACTGAACTAGAACTGAACTAGAACTGAACTAGAACTGAACTAGAACTGAACTAGAACTGAACTAGAACTGAACTAGAACTGAAATAGAACTGAACTAGAACTGAACTAGAACTGAACTAGAACTGAACTAGAACTGAACTAGAACTGAACTAGAACTAGAACTAGAACTGAACTATAACTGACTAGAACTGAACTAGAACTGAAACTAGAACTGAACTAGAACTGAACTAGAACTGAACTAGAACTGAACTAGAACTGAACTAGAACTGAACTAGAACTGAACTAGAACTGAACTAGAACTGAACTAGAACTGAACTAGAACTGAACTAGAACTGAACTAGAACTGAACTAGAACTGAACTAGAACTGAACTAGAACTGAACTAGAACTGAACTAGAACTGAACTAGAACTGAACTAGAACTGAACTAGAACTGAACTAGAACTGAATAGAACTGAACTAGAACTAGAACTAGAACTGAACTAGAACTCAACTAGAACTGACTAGAACTGAACTAGAACTAGAACTGAACTAGAACTGAACTAGAATGATCTAGAACTGATCTAGACCTGAACTAGAACCAAATTTTAGTTTTTAATCCACATTTGACCAATCATTGTAAAAAACCTTGTATTTTACCCAATAAATACTTTAAAAGAAAATCGCACACATTTTTCTTGTGCAAAATATATGCGTAATAATGTGTAAATTAAACTACATTTACAATTTTTGAAAAATGTTAATACATTAAGCTAAAACACAAGGCCAACATGTAAATCCCCTTGAAAATCTGTCACATGCAGATGTTTACGCGCAATAACGAAACCATAAATCCAATCGACCAATGACCATCTTCAACAACATGTGAGAGATGATGCAGCTAATATTAAAACCGGTTTTAGTTGATCAATGAGTAGTAAACATTAAGAAGTGTGGTGATTCACTAACATTCAAATCTGTCCATATTTGAACGACCGCAGGAATCCCCCGCTTAAAAAAAATGCATTTAGTTAACGTGTATTAATAACAGTTACTAAATTAAAACGTTATTAAGAGTAAATATTTTTAAGACGAAAAAGCAAGAGTCAAGAAGCGGCATCTTTAAGGTAAGAATTTTACAGTGGGCAGCAAATTTTGCTTAAGAAAAGATCACTATTTTTCAAAATTTTAAAAATTTATTTACATTATTACAGACTAGTTTTATTTGGAAAATAATTCACTTGAACATCAAACAATTAAATTTTTCTCGACTCCTTCACGACTTCACGTTTCTTGCGTTTTCTTCTTCTTTCTTTTTTGCAATCATTATCCAAGTGAGAAAATATCATCATTTCCGAACTCATAACAGCTGTTGGATAAGTGGGAGCCAATCTTAATTGTAAAATTCTCTAAATCCATAAAATCAGTTTCAGCACTAGTCATATCAGCAGTGGTAGTTGTCTGACCATTTTGTTGTCTCGGATCTATGCAGGGACAATACGATATGGGTCTTTCACCGCCCGGCAAACAAAACTAAAGGATCTGCCGGACAGG